AAAAGTGTTAATAAAGACATCAAATAACCAATTTCAATATTTCTCTCTACAGAAAATTAATGATATTTATTTTATTTGAATGCGTTTCAAGGTGCAAGATTTTTCTCGTGTTTTAATTGTAACTTATCTTTCAAAGAGGATGAATGTAACATATAAAACGTATATGAATAATAAAGACAGGAATTTTCAAAAAATGAATCAATCGACAGTTTATACTTAGACTTGATAACCAATATATAACATTTTCCCGTACGTAGAAAAGCAAATGTAAAGATATATAGACAAGAGATAGATAAAATTAAACTGTCATTGACAGATGTTTGACACTGCTTGCAACACGTTTTTATCAACTAAAGTTATTCTGCTCAATATAGTATTAATAAAATGTACCGTAATATCATTGAATTGAATTTAAAAAAAAAATCTTGAAATTAACAGATTTCGGAATTCGGTACGATTAAAAAATGCAGCTATTTATATTTTTAGAGTATATTTAAAAGAATCATACTGCAATGTACATTGTATTTAATAATACCAAGCGTATTACTACCAGTCAAAATATTTTATCAAGACAGTAATTATTAGTCCCATACTGGTGAAGCCCGAGGGGTCTATAGGTTTCCTCTTCGTCTGTCCGACTGTTTGTCCGTCCGTCTAGCTGTCTATTTGTCAGTCTGTTCCACTTGGTTTTTCGCACTTTTCTCTAAACGCTTGCAGATATTGAGCTGGTTTTGGTATTTATAGTGTATCCTGAAGAGAAACAGAGTTTGAAATTCAAGTTTGAATTTCGTTAAATTCTTCTTCATTGATTTTTGACGGAATATTACAAATTCAAAAAAAGGGGGGGGGGGGTTCGGCGTTTTTTTTTTTTTTTTTAATTTGTTTTGTTTTTCTAAAAAAAATCGCATATATTGAGCTGATTTTTGTTATGGTATATGTGTTAAATTTGAGTTATAGATCAAGTTTGTATTTTCTTCCGCTTCCATGACTTTTCAAATAGGGCATTTTCAATTTTTAATGGAAACCAGGTTATACTTGGTGTGCCGATAGTGGACTATTATTGCTAATGCAGTGCTTACAGAATGCATGAATAAATAGTCAAATGATAAAAAAAAAAAATACATTGAGTGTATGTCTTCTATTCATTCTTGAACTTAAACTATTCATTCTTAAACTTAAAAGTATTTACGCATATAAAGAGGTGCATTATGTTTTCAGCAAAAATGAGACAATCCAGGCAAGCGAGGACCTACATGTATTTCCTCGCGCTTCCCAACTTCCTTTTGATACGTATGTTGTTTCACCAACTCTAGTCACTATTTGATTTGCAAGACCATAGTCGCAATTTAAAATACATTTGTAAATACCAAATGTATGTGTTAAATCATATCCTGCAGAAACGTACAAATCAACATCCAGTCTTAAAAGTAATCTACGTTCCCTACATGTAGACCATACAGAAATATATGCGAACCTTCTCTAACAGATTGAAGCGATTCTATTCAAAGGAATGGCTATAACCATATCCATGATAAAGAACGTTAATGAATGGACTGATTCTTAAACTTCTCTTTAGTTCTGTCAGTCATTGGAAAATGTAAGATCCGGCATCTGTTACAGTTCTGGTAATGTGTAACCCTAAATGCATCATCGGTGCATATTTCTTCAAGATAGGGATTATAGTTACATGAAAATGAGACATGCTCCAAAATATATACCCTGAGCATTCATCAAGAAAATGTAAGTCAGATCTAGCATCTGAAGCAAGTCTGACAGTGTGCATCCGAAGATGCATCATGAAGCACGTCCTCTCAACAAGTGCTTATAGCTGCACTGCTCCATAAACATTAACCTGCTTTAAAAACATTAACCTGGACATTCTTTAACTGAAAATGCAGCATCTGAAACCCGACAGATGACAAGAAAACACACTAGATCAGGCGACTCTGATGATATGAAAAAATTGATTAAAAACTTTTAATAACCTATTCGCCTATAACGATGGTATTATAAAAGCTCCCCCAACTTCGTGTAGGTGAGCTAAATATATGACGTTAACGTTATACGCGGGCGACGAAATAAGTATGGAAATAACGATAGGATACCATTATGTTTTCTTATGTCAATATTTTCGAGAGTTCTCTTTGGTTTAGAAAAAATATGCTACTTTTGGCTTTGTATTTTAACACGGCGTCAGATCAAGTAACCAGGAGCTTTTAATTTTAGATATGCAAATTTTAGACAATTTTCAATTTTTGGATATGAAGTGCACACGCGACACTTATCATATTATAAGATATTAGTGTGCAGAGTATATCTAAGTACTGAACAAAACTAGGTGAGTGTCCCTCATGCACTTCATATTCTAACCATCGATTTATAAATGCCACGCTCTTATATTTTCCCATTAGCCTAATGTTAAAGCATTTGAGGGTACATCTAAGAATGTGCCAACTACGGCGTGAATTCATCTCATATAAACTCTTGAAATATAAATAACAAAAATTAACATATATATCTTGGATTCTAAACCAATTTTGAAAAATTAAAACGAAATTTATTTTTATGAAAATAAGTGGGCCGATAAGCGGCCTTATCGAAACTCCCCCTTTATCGTCTTTTCGTTCATTTCACAGTAAGGAGGTTGTATTTTATTTGTTATCATCACAGCATGCTACTCCGAAAGGGATTTCTGCACAATACTATTACTGGGAGATCTAAGGAACTTCAAGAAAAGGTCTCCAACTGCTCTCTTTGACCTATAGAAGTACATATGTAAGTGCAATGAAACATGTATTCAAATTTAAAACCACACTGTAAAAACTAGGTGGTGTGCTTCCAGAGACTTTTTAGGCGTTTTGCTTCCAGACACGGTAAGTGTTGTGCTTCCTGAGACTTTTCAGGCGTTTTGGTTCCAGAGACTTTTATTGATAACATTTTATTTTATTATTGTATGGATTTTTTCCTCAGCCATATATCTTAATTTGATAGTAGTTTCAAAACTTACAAGCTTGGATCTCATGCAAAAAGGAAATTAAAATTTCAGTTATTAAGATTCAGATACGTAGCAATGATAATTTTTACTCTAACAACATATTGTGATGACAATGTTTAAGCCATGCAGAAGACCATTTGCAGAGATAAATTCTTGTAACATCATGAAGTCAGATTCAGGCTACATAAAAAAAAATGGGTCGCTCATAAAGTTTTTACTCTTTCGAAGAGTATCATGTATCAGGTGTGATGTATATGTTGTACGCTTTATTCTATTATTATAAGCCACAGAAATTATTGAATTGCAGTCCCCATCGGATTTCACAAACATTTGTTGTGGAAAAAAATACTGACTTTAAATTACAAATAAATATATAATTAAGATTATTATACAGTGTGCAATATGTAAAATGTTTTATTCAAACCTTTTTAATGACTTAAACATTTGGATTTTTTTTTTACGAATTATTTTATTATAAAGAAATAAAATTTCAACGAAAAAAAACAAAAATACTTCAAAAGCGAATATAAACAAATGTTATTTCCTCTCCTTGTTTCCTGATTGTTTATATTTATATAAATTCAATTTAAAGAAATGAATTAAATTTTATGAGATACGATATGAGTCGGAATAGTTTTACCATCCTCCTATATTTTGTAATTTTGTGTATTACTGAAAGAATAACAACTATCAGTTATGGAAAAGGAGACTGTAGAAATTCGATAACGTGAGAAATTTAAATAGATTTTTAATTACATGTATTCTATATTTAAGAATTAAGAATAGAGAGGTTAAAAGTTCTATTACATGATACTTTTTATACACTTACGTCCTAAATGTACGAAAAAAATACAATTATTTTTTTCTTGCAATTCACCTCTGAAATCTATATTTGTAGCTCTGATATTATTTTTTTTTCTCTTTTAGCATATATTTCTGTTATATATTCAGTATTAAGAAACCCTATTCATTTAGGTGATTTATTTTTTTTCCCTCACATCTAAACAAGTGGATCAATGATAGATATTTCCTCGTGATTAATTTGTATACAATTTTTTTGGTTTGCTTGTTTGTTTGGGGTTTCTTTGTTTGTTTATTTTTATTTTTTTTTTTTTTTTTTTTTTTTTGTTTTGTTTTGTTTTGTTTTGTTTTGTTTTTGTTTTTGTTTTTTTTTTTTGGTTTGTTTTTTTTAAATTCATTTATTAATTCAAATCTGCTTGCACGACATAAAAATATATCTGCTTTCATAAACTAATATGGAAATATGCATTTAAGAAATTCTAGCTTAATTTTGACTAACAACAACCTTACACTTTAGTTACAGCTGTACTTAATGAACTATAAACGAACCGAATACTGCCCTGTATAGGCCTGAAAGTATATTGAATGAAATTATGAAAATACACTAATTTATAAGTTCTCTTTCCAAAATATCAGGAAATGTTGATTTTAAAAGCTTTCTTCGTTATTAATATCCACAGGAATGAGAGAGAGTGTTGTTTTAATTACTATCAAGAAAAGGGAATATGTAAAGGTAATCAGAGATTTCTAGAAAAGTTCTTCAAAAAGTAATAGTACTTATTGTATTCTTATTTTATCTGAGCAATGTATTTACTTTATAAAAATGGTAAAAAAGTATTACGTTTTCATTTGAATTTAAAGTTTGCCCAAAAGGATGGTTTGGAGAGAATTGCAAAGAGCATTGTCCACAAAATAAATACGGAGAATTATGTCGTGGAAAATGTAAATGTTGCTCCGATAACTATTGTGTCATGTTTCCTGTCATACATTTACCGTTTGACCATGAAATTAATATTTCAAATTTCAATAAGTAAATTAACGAACGGAATTTTTTTTCACTTGACGTGATAAAAGTGCTTCTTACATAAATTTAAACTGGTTTGGTAATATAATTTAACGAAATAATCATTTTGCCCAAATTCATTTGGATGATAGAAATGTCTTACCATTTAGCATTTTATTAATTTAATGTTATTCCTCTCAGGTGTTCCGAAGAGAGTGTGCACTGGAGATAATGGGTAAGTACCTTATATTAATTTATTTGCTTGTTAGTAATAGCTTATACATAATTCAAAATATATGTATATTACTGTACAAGAAATGATATATATTTAAGTTTGAGGACTGCAAAGATTCTAAAATTTGATCTACCTCATTTCAGAGAGTTCAAATGCTGTATGAATTACTATCAGCATGTCAAAAATAAATGCACAGGTTTGTTTTACTCAATTTGCACCTTTAATTGAAAAATAACAGAAATAACTTCATATGAAAAATTATTGATTTTCAATGCAGTTGCTCCATATAACAATACCCATCTTTAAAATTTTAACAGTTTGTTTCCCGGGCGAAAACTGCGAGAAGTGTCCAGTTGGAACATATGGTTATCTTTGTGGACAGAAATGCAATTGCGGCAAAAATGTCTCCTGCGACAAAAGATATGGTTGTGTTGACCAAGGTTTTTTTCTATTTCATCAGTCGAAAAAAAATTTATACATATTTTTGATGTATCAGATACCATAGCATTTGATTTACAATATTTGACATAGTAACCGATCGTTTATTACAGCAAACTGTTTTTTCATTATCGTAAACTACAGTTTAGGCAAAGGACATACTTTAATTGTGTGACTACTAATGTTCTTTTTTCCCATCAAATATCTTAACATTAAACATATATTTTACTTGCGTACTTGATAGTCAGTAAAAGTAAAAAAAAACTGCTTTTCTTGGGACAAAGATAAACAAAAAATAATCTTATAAAACAAGCAAAATTATTAATGCAGAATATTTGCTAAAAATTTAAACGCTTCATTTTCAACAATAAAGTTCATAGTTCAGGTACCCCTCTTACATGAGTACACTAAAGGAGAGTTGTGTGTGTTCTTTCCATTCAATTAGTTAAAATGTCAGAATTATTTGTTCCCACCAGATATGAAAGAGATACAGTGATTATAATGAAATAAGCATTTTGAAAAGAATAGAAGGAAGTTGTATTTAAGCTGATGTACAGGTATAACCAGGAATGTTATTTATCTATAAATCAATAAAGATTATGGGTGTATACTACAAATGCATGGCTTTTTTGTTAAAGGAAATAAAGCGAAAGAAAAAATATTTTTATTACGTGAGCTGTAAAAGTTAACTTTTATGCAAATAAAAATTGATCATTTAATGACATCAACACATAATTAATCAAAATATTACTTTACTGTTAGAATGTCCACCTGGATCATTTGGGGACAACTGTTCAGAGGAATGTCCACTCGGCTTTTATGGTCACTTTTGTGAGGGAAATTGCACATGTAATGACTACTGTGATAAGCAATATGGCTGTGTGCAAACAACAAGTGAGACAGGTATCATAGTTGTTCTTTAATTCTAAAAATGCATGCATTTATAACTGTGTATGAGAATTCGATTTCTCCCTAAAGAGTATCACAATTGTTTTAGTTAATTTCACCTTGAAAGGAAAGTTGAATCTTGTAAAAAAAAGATTAAAAATATGGAGTAAAACTGAATTCTTAAGTAAATAAAATCTAAAATCACACGGGAAAGTTTGTTTAGCAATATAATTTTGTTCAGGCACATAGCACAGAAGTTTTTGCAACTTGTCAACGTATTACGAAAACTTGCATACGCCTCTCTCTCTCTCTCTCTCTCTCTCTCTCTATATATATATATATATATTATATAATATATATATAAAGTTGTTTGCCGATGTTAAAATACGCTTTATTTAAACAATACTGTATATCATATTGGGGATATATATGTGTTTAGAAATTGTTCACTTCACTTAAATTAAAAATGTGCTAAATATAGCCACTAATATTCTTATAGTGATAATGTATCTTTAGATTTGACTTCTGAAGTAAATAAGATTGTTTGATTTTATTTTGTTTAACGTCCCATTCGAGAATTTTTCACTCATATTGAGACGTCGACGTATGCCGGAAAAGGGTTTCAAATATAGTTCTATACTCTGCACTCAGGGCCATTGAGCAGCGAAGGTTCTTTATCGTGCCAACGCCAATCGTGACACGGGACCTTGATTTTTAAGGTCTCATCCGAAAGACCCGTATTTTTCTTTCTAGTGAAGGGAGCTTGGCGAAGGAACAGTCACTACCTATGTTACGTCTTAGATTTGACGCGGCGCGGCGAACAAGAATGGAACCTGGGCCTCCCGACCACGAAGGGAACGCCCTACCACTGAGCAATCGTGACCGCTGAAGTAAATATATGTTAAAGCTAGTAAGAAAGGTGTTTTTTTTCAAATTTCATTGTGTTCAGGTAAACTGTACTCCACTGATATCCAGTCGTCACAGTCACAGCAAGTCACAGGTAAATCAGGTAAATGAATCCTTTGGTTCAAAGATTTTATACTTAAAATTTTCATTTTTATACTGAAAAGGCTAGTGTATATTATGTTTTGATTTTTTAAAATTATTTTATGATCACTATATTGTAGAATGTTCATTAAAAACCCGCTAACAAATGTAATTGAAATGTTATACTAGGTAGAGGTTTGCAAGATAGATCTCATATTTTACTTTTATCTTAGCTTTGCCTTACTGTCAAGAGAATACTTCCAGTCTTCCTTTCTTCCCCACAATATTATTTCTGTTATTGGCGGTATCTGTGGAAGCAATAGTCATCTGCATCCTGATAGGAACAACAATCTATTTTGCAAGGTGAGAAATCATACATATATAGGTGAAGAAACCATACAAAACCATGTATTAAATGATATATAATCAGTAAAAATAGGGAACATCACATTCTATATTAAAGGCATCAAAGCATAAGATGTAATCAAACAAACCTGTTTAAAAGCATAATATCTGATATATTACAAATCTGTTGTCTGAGACTAGTTATCACATTCCATTGGCATTGTAATCTAGAACGTTGTTAGATTCTTTACAGGTCAAGGGCAAAAAGTTGGACCTTATATTCATGTCCTCTTCCGGCGAATACAATTGCTTTGGAAACAGCACAAGAGGATGACTACACCTTGCTAACAGACAGGATACAGCTACCTCGCTGTGAAATGAACGGAAGATAATTTAAAACGATAAACACCTTTCGTAACAATGACAAGAGTTAGTTTCCATTAAATGGAATAAACATTTAATGCACTTTGCGTATTTTACAAGAATTGAATGATAAAAACTGATTGCTATTTTTATAAAATGTTCAAAATAGAGTATGACGATGGAACTTCATGTATGTTGCATATTCAGAAAATATTCTGAGACAGACAATTTTCACATTCTTCCAGAATGCACTTGTTATTGTTCATTTTACATTTCATGATTGTTCCTCTAATCCAGTTCATGAGTTTATTCTAGATATGTAAGATTTTTCAGTATGTACATATTTTATATGAACGTTTTCTGATATGTGATTACATGTAAGCATATAGGCACAATATATTAAAGCAAACCAACCTTTATTCGCGTATTTGTGAGTTTCTAGACCATCTCTTACTCGCGAATATTTCAAGCCTTGAACCATTATTATGATTGTTTATTTATATAAAATGTTTCCTCAGACGCGGAAATTAATAGTTACGGATTAATTTCAATTTGACGAATCGTTAATAAAAGTTGCCTACAATAAAAATGGTTCACAGTTTTTAAAACTCGTATCTTTACATATGCTTCATACGACACCGAAACAGATTTTTTTATTCAATATTTTTGTTCAAAAAGGTCGAATTTTTCTTTGTTTTTTGTATAAAATGTATATAAAAAATCAGCAAAGTAACTAAAAACAATCAAACAGTTTCAAATTTAATATCTTAAACATGAGTTCACTGTAATTTATTTATACGATATACGTTTAAGCATATTTTTATATTCATTATAAAGTTGGAAAAAAGAAAATGTTTACTCACAAAGAGTCTTCATCTGATGTTTATGATATCAAAATATAATAATCATTTGTACATCAATGACATCATGCATCCAATATTCTGGTAAAGTAAGAGGCATGTACATATGTGCTTAAAATTACCAGCGAATATAACTTTCTGTTATCATTCCATCATTACAAAACAAAAACAAAATCTAAAAAAAAAAAAAAAAAAAAAAAAAAAAAAAAAAAAAAAAAAAAAAAACAGGAAAATTAAACAAAAACAAACACCAAAAAGAAAAAAAATATATACATCCTGGTCTAGATTTTTTTCAAGAATTGATATAGAAATCTTAATATTATGAATATAACAAACTATAATCTTGAAAGTAAAAATATAAGAAATGTTTATTGAAAATAAATCATGAAAAACCATTCCATCGAAGAATGACCTACTGTAACAATGTTTTGTTGGAGGACTGATCAAGCAGTCAGTAAGCATAGGAAAATGAATATTAATATTATTTTCATTTATAAGAGCAATATATTTTTTCACATCAGTTATGTTATATTTGATTTCTTCCATATAGTGCAAATAGACTGAGATTCAGAGCATGTGTTAAAACTTTGCACCTGCTAGTCAAAAAGGAAACTTTATTTTTCAGAGAAATAGCATGACCCGTACCTGACATAGTGATATACGTCGTCTGGTCATATATATATATATATATATATATATATATATATATATATATATATATATATATATATATATATATATATATATATATATATATATATATATATATATATATAGTAATAAATTAAGGAATATCGCTATTGATATCAGGTTGACAAATCAAGCCGATCCTGCAGCAGTAATTATGATTTGAGTTTTCTTACATAATATAACCAGATTATAAACGAAAGTCAATAATGTATACATTTTCTAACATAAATTTACTCTTCCACTCTTGTTAACTACAGTTTATCAATAGATAAATGCTTTTAGAATACATAACACAAGTTTAGAATGGATACTTATATAATTTGATTAATAATAAAACAGGATTTTTTTTTAAATTCAGAGCATCAATACCTCTTAAATTTCATACAATCGATAAAATATTTGGAATGATATTTCCTTTTAATATAAAGCCAAATATATGTTAAAATTAGCAATACATATATGAAATTCTTATTAAATAACCATTATTTTCGATAAGAAAAACTTAACTTTACTTAAATACTATAACATTTTTAGTTATGATTATGCTTTAATTCAAAATACCAAGGGAAATGTTCGGATTTTATTATTCAGATAAGTGTACAGAAGATTTTTTTTTGTTTATTAAACTATAGCAAAAACAAAATATGCAATTGAAAAATTAAGGAAGAAAACAATTTAGGACATTGAAATGTTTAACTCTCTTTTATACTCTCATATTTTGTTCCTGTATCTAAATTAGATATTTCAAAGAAATTGTTTCATTTTTGGATAGAGTTAATGTTTATATATCCATTATATTAGTTGAACATACTTCAAATGATTAAAATTTCCTTTATGAGAGGAATAATGGTTTATTTTTAGTCAAATAAATATGTCAGACTATCTTCAATCCTTTTATGTATTCATTGATCGCTAGACGAATATTTTTTAAGTTCTTTGATAGATTCGTATACAGAGGTAACTTAAATCCAGTTGTTTATTTTCCAATTGCCAATTTTATTTTTTATGTTTTGTATTGATTTTTTTTTTGTATGCTTTTTTTTTGTTTTTTGTTTTATTTATTGTTTAACGTCCCTCTTGAGAATTTTTCACTCATATGGAGACGTCACCACTTGCCGGTGGAGAGCTGCAAATTTTGGCCTATACTCGGCACTCAGGGTCTTTGAGCAGTGAGGGATCTTTTTCGTGGTAGCACCTTCTGCGACACGGGACATCGGCTTATACGGTTTCATCCGAAGGACCGGTCTCAACGACCCACAGTGGGTGACAGTTTTAAAGTCGTAGCAATAGGAAACAATTGTCTGACTGTTTAGTGTACATGACAGCATTTTTCAGGCCATTCTCCGTATTTTTTCTTTTGAACGTACCAACAAACCGAAAATCAATTTCATCTGCAAGCATAGATAGAGTTTAAAATTCCGCCATCCATAGTATATAAATGATGCATATTTATGCAAATTTTGGAATAGTTATTGTGGTTATTCTACGATTTTGAAGCTATTAAGGAACGTAAATTTAGTGTACTCGCATTACTCTCTGATTACAGCATGATTGTTCTTAGTGAGATTGTGTATTTTAATTTGTGCATGAAATTATTGAAGTTAGACAGACATTATTTTCAAAATATGTTTTATTTTCAATTAATATGCATGTTAAGTGAATTGTTCATGTTTAAATTCCAAGGTTTTATATATCGGAAATCGCGAGTACCATACTAAATTCTTTTTATTACTAAATTGCTCTATTAAAATGAAACCATTTTTTACTTCTTATTCAAAATTGAAATGATGCACAATCAATAAAATTTACAAAAGATATTCGTTTTATTCTTTAATACGACGGTATATTGAAGAATCTGATCCATTCATCTTTACCAGTTACACTTTACATTTCCTATCACCCTTTCTACAATGGAATTTGAAAACAGGCTATGTGAAGATGCAATTGAATTTTAGTAGTACTATTGGCAAAGAATTAAAATATGAGACACCCCTCAGTCCAAAAAATAAAACATTTTATAATCCCCAGAAACAGTTCTACAATTATATAATTGCACACTTTGGATTAGAGGTTATGCTTTGTACAAAATATTCAAAAGCAGCTTCAACTTTTGGCCATTTCTTTAGTAAAATTTTCGGGATATGGGAATAATGACGCAATTTATATGTTGTCATAATATATTGCCGAACAAGTAAATTTTGTAATTCTCAAAGTATATGCAGTCACCAAGGCTACAAGTGATATGTAATGCGATTTTCAACTAATGCTGAGCAGATTTGATATTTCAGAAATTCATAGGGCCAAAAAATACCCTATATTATTCTGGTTATGCTCATACGAATTAATTAGTGAAAATAAATGCTACGGTATAACAATTAGAACCCCTTTTTAAAAATCAATGTTGAAAAATAAAAAATGAACACATATCAGCAAGAACTCTTATCTGAAAAACTTGAAGAGTCAAACTACATCAACATTCTCACTGATTTCACAAATCAACTAAATTTATTCAATTCAAAAAAATGATTTCATCTATCACTGACGAGGACAGTTCAGATTTATAAATTAAAACTTTTAGTTTAAATGTTAAAATGTACAAATACTGCAAAAAGTATCGACAAACCCGTTAAGCTGTACATGTAACAGGTTACAATTTTTGCGACCGATTCATCGGTTAACTGGTTCGCTGTTGCCATCCCTATTATATACATATATGTTAAATTTTTATCATATAGCTCTTAGTTAAGAAATAATAACAAGGTTAAAACGTTCTCTGGGGAATGAACTTGGTTGGTCACGTGATCAAATCCTGTGAAACCCGACTCGGTACATGGCGTATCGGCACATGCATAAAAATAATCCAAGAAAATAATATCCAGATAGCCATTATTATTGAACAAAAACATATATTTACATTCAACATGTATTTTGCTTATAAAGTATGAGGAAAGCTACAGCATTCAAAACACCATAACATACATGTAGAAAGGGGTCAAAAGGTTAAAGTATGCGTTTTATTTTGACGTCACAAACGTTTAACGCCGTGGAAATGCAACGTCAAAAGCGAAAATCAAATTTCACGCTCACATTGAACAGAAGCTGTTGCAATGGCTCTAAGACTTCCATTTAATGTAACTTACCCGGAGGATAATACAGGGATTTTGAAATTAAAAAAAAAACACCTTTACAGTCAAGGCAAGGAGTTAAAAAATGTAAGTATAAGCATTGAATCATTTTTTCTTGAAAGATATAGTCTCATAACTGCAACGGTGTGTGCAAAGTTTGATAACGCGCTAACGCGCGTTACTCAATTTGTTTGCTAACACCGTTGCAGTTATGAGACTATATCTTTCAAAAAATAATGATTTAATGCTTCATAACATTCGATCTCCAACATTTAATGTCCAAGTAAATGTAACGAGAAAAAAATAGGCTGATTTCAGACATGTCAAGATTCAAGGTATTTTGACATATCATTA